ACGCAGACAGAAACAAAAATATTTCGCTAAAACCCAAGTCCACGTTACGTAGGCGCACAGGGGGGGGGGGGAGGAGGGGTTCTTGTGTGCGTTTGCTTGGCGAATGGCACATGGCGTCACGCATCACAACCGCAAAAGAACTATACGCTGAAAACGGAAAATGCGGTGCATATATACAAGGTGTTGCGCAGATGTCGATGATGATGATAATGACAATAAAGTGATTGAGAAAAAAAAGGACTTGATTTTTTTTTGTAGAACAATAACAATAATGACTGTGAGGTTAGACACTTACCAATGAAAAAAAAATGGAAGATAAATGATAATAATAAAGAGGGCTATCAACGTCGAGTTCTGATTTCTTGTTGTCCCCGAAAAGTCTCTCTTCTTTAGTTCATTTCTTTTTTTCTTCTTTTGTCAGCAACGTCTCGTTACGGCGCCGTTGGCAAGCTTGTGCGTGCGCAAACGGTGCCTTTCTGAACGCACTACGAATTGAAATGCGTAGAGGTGGCGAAAAGGCGTGTCGGAAAAAAGAAAAAAAGATGAGAGACAACATCGAGCGCGTATTCGTTCCAATCAAAGAGGAAGAAGAAAAAAAAGCCAGAATTGATTTTCAGGATTCTTGCGGCGGTCAGAATACAAAATGCTGATTTATGCTACACAGGGAATACATTTGGGTTGATGTGTGGCGGTGTGGTGAGCCACTCAGGGCAAACATGCTGGTGCGTCAGGTCGACTCTCCGTTTCGAGCTTCACCTCGTCAATACGAGAAGTGTTCCGCGGCTCCACCCACTGCAGCAACAACAGGCAGAAGAACGAGAATTCTCATCGTCGTTCAGAGGTGTCCCAAGAAACCGGAGTGGGAAAGATTGCAGAAATCAGCCGTCAATAATAATAATAAAACGAAACATAGCATGCCCCCCAAAAAAAGAACGACACACGGTGGTTACTCGTGTCCTCTGGCGTGTACTGACACCACACATCCATAACTACCGTTCGTTTTTGCCGTTCTTCTCCTTTCTTTTCCACTCGTCTCGTTCTCCTGAAGGGTTTCCCTGACACAACACCCAAGAAATATTTTAACCCCGGATCTGTATTTGCAATGGTGCGCGGTTGATGCGGCTTCACGATGCCAAAAGTAACTAAACAACATCGACAAAAAAAAAGGATGGAAAAGGGCAAAAGGAGTCCCCGCTTTCTGTCAGAAGCCACCGGGAAGAATGAACGATGATTGGTGCGCAGTAGCAAAAAAAACAACAACAGCAGCACTACAAAGATCGGGAGCCAATAAGAGAAATATATCAGAGTTACGAGCTCAGGGGAGAAAACGAAACGCAAAAAAAAGGGAAACACGAAGAAAGAGGAAAAAGTACACAGAGTTGTGGCAATGAACTAAATTTCGCTCGCGTATAACATAAAAAAAAGAAGATGTGAAACCCGTTTATTCAACCGCCAGCCGCATTCCATGGCCGTAAATTTAAACATGCGGGTCACTTGGAACAAACGTTGAGAGGTTTAGAAAAAAAGGAGGAAATAGCAGGCGAAGAAGAGCGCGATGGGTTGGCTACACATTCGCATTGATAATCCGTGGTAAAGCAAAAAATGGGAAAAAAACCAAACAAACAAGTAAATAAATAAATAAATAAATAAATAAATAAATAAATATATATATATATATATATATATAGTAGAGAAAAACAGAAAATAGAATCGAAGAAAAATAAAGATAAAAAGTTTACAAAGCGTCCATTCAGAGATATGTCGTGAGAACAGGGAAAAGTAATGCACTCTCACAACGCAGTTACTTCTCACCCGCCCGACAACAACGGCTCCGATGCTTTTCTTGCGACCATATGTAGCGAAACGAAGGAGAAAGAATCAAACGAACATGCAAAGTAACAAGGAGTATGTCAGTTTCAAGCAAACAACGCGAGTACAACGTTTTTTTTTTAATATACATTTAGTGTTAACGATCTTATTTCGTACGAGAACAAAGTGCACGCGCTTCGACCGGTAAACGTGAAATCGTATACGATCAGGAAAACCAAAGAAGAATGTTAAAGCTCTCTCGGAAATTGAATCAGCTAAAAGAATCATAGAAGAGATCGTTGTGTTTTTCTCTCATGTGATGCGAGGAGCCTGCAACACGCATAGAAGCAAATGCGACACTCACGCACCCGCACACCGCAAAGTACGTGTGTGGCAATACTACTCATAATAAAAGACGACGCTTTCATCTTTTTTATTGTTATTACCCGGAGGCCTCACACAAACACGTGAAATGTGGGTTTTTTTTTTTAGCTCATGTTTACTGAGAGATTTAAAGAAACCGTGTATGCTAACTCGTTTTGGCGTGTGGGCGGTAACTTCAATTAGACGAGCGTCTACGTTCACGCATACTGAGAAAAAGAGGGAGCTTGCAAAAGAATAGCACAAGAAAGCCATCTAGAAGCACAGCCGACGACAAATGCCGTGAAAGCAAGATAAACAGACACAAGAAAATCAGTTGTTTCAGCATAGGTAGAGATGAAGGTAGTCGGTTTTGCGTTTTGCGTGTCGCGCTGAAATTTTCGCTTCTTCTCTTTTAGGGTTCTACCCTTTGTGGATTTTAGGAGCACAGGTAAAGGAAAAAGAGAGAAATCGTACCTTTTGGAATGGACTGATAACGGTAGACCAGTGGAGGAGACAGACAAGACAAAAAATGGCGACATCCAGTAACGAATAAAGGAAACAGTATGTATATATATATATATGTAGTTATATATACAAATGATGATAATAAAAAAAAAACTGAATGAAGGTTGTTCCTTTGTGCGGAGCATTTTTTTTTTCGTTTAGTCCAACTCGAGCACACACCTAAAACCAGATCGGGCGATGTGACGCGAATTATAACAAATTGGCAGCAGCCACAGCAACAAAAGGAAACAAACAAGCAAAAAAAAGAGGTAAATGAAAGCATCCATAAGAGTGAACTTTATTGATGCCATTGAAGCTACGGTCACAAACAAAGACACCCACACGAAAGGAATTAAGCTATCACATCATGTTAAACGACGCGGAGAGAGAAAAAGAGAGCCGGGCTACCCGCGGCCGCATAACCGCACCCACCTTAGAGTGCGCAACACTTGGGGAGTTTCCTTTTCAAGTGTGCTTATGCTGCTCACGTCCACTTCAGCCTCGTCTTTTTTGCCGCTTCTTAATATCTCCCTTTCTTCTCTTTTCCCCCTCAAGGCAGTGCGCACGTGAGTCAGTGCATTGTCGTGCATTCCAGCAGCCACAGCTGCCGTCCATTTTTTTTTTCGCATCCCTCAGGTCACTTACCCACGCACATACGCGCCGTGCGAGTAAAGACAGCATAGAGCGCGGAAGGCGCAGAGCAGCAAAGGAGTGAGGCAGACAAAGAAGAAAGAGCGAGCGAGAGACCGCGAGCGATAATCAGCAGAAGAAAGAGAAAGGTGCCGAGCACTTTTCTTTTGCTTTCTTGAGTGATGCTCCGTTCTTTCGCACCGGGGGTATAGTCTTCCGTGCCACTCCCGCACCCACGTCAACTCGGCAGTGCTGAGACGGGAAAAAGCATTTCCCCTCTATTCTCTCCGCGCAGCTTGCCAACGAACAAGTTGGAGTCCCGTTTCTTTGAGCTCCACCCTTTGCGACGTGGTGTGCGGCACAGAAGGAAGAGAGAACAAAACGGAGGTCCACAGCTCTCCGTAGCGCAAGTCGTGCTGCGTTGAAAACAGGAAAGCGGCAACACCTCCTACATGCTTCTCCGTCCTTCAACCGATCACACGTTCGCCCCCCCCCCCCCACAGGAGAAAAGAAAAGTCAAAAGATAAAGAAAAAAATACAAATCAGTGCAAACACACACACACAAAAAGCTTACACGAAGACAGAAAGTGACGTGTTCGTCTTGTCCGTTATATATATATATATATATATCTTTCTTTTAATAATGAAGCTTGACGCGAGTTTCTAAGTGGGAGCAACACGTGCGGCAAGAAAACAGCACTTACGTGCTGCTTCTTTGTTGTGACACAGACGCAGAAAGAAGAAAAAAGAAAGAAAGCTCAACGTTTCGTCATAAAGCATGGGAGAAGGAAAATGGGGTAAAGAAAAGGATCTGACTTTTTATATAAGTCGTCATTCACACAGATCACACACGCTTGCGTACACAGGTACTTTTGGCTGCGCACATGCAGATCTCCGCGTATGAACATAACAGTCAGAAACTGACAGGTTACACAAACGGTACAAGGAAGAATAACTGTCAAATAAAACTTAGTCATTGGAGGGGTAGCACAAAAGATTTAACAAAAAAGCAGGCAAAAGGAATCCTCGCAAAAAGAAAAAGGAAGCTATCAGCTGCTGGAGGAAGTGAAGTTAAAAAGAAAGAGAGAGAGAGTTGGATAGGTGGGTGGCTGAGACGAGAGTGAGGGGGAGGGGCAGGACGGAGTTGATTGATGCCAGGCTCGATGACGCGACCAAGGTCGACATCGTTTTCTCCGCTAGCGCACGTCACTCAAACAGCACACCCGAGGACACCCATCTCGCTTGCATGACATCCACACGTTTTCAATGTACAGCAGTTTAAATACGGGGAAGAAAACAACTCAAAAGCACTACAAAAAGCAAAAAAATGTGAAAAGAAAAGAGGAGGGATATAGTTTTTCTTGACAATGCGTTTGCGTCGAAGTGAGCGACCGCTGCGCAAACGCCGGTTCACCACCCACACCTTGGCGAAGCCGCGGGTGCGAATTTGCGTGCGTTTGACTGAAAGTCTGCGCTTTCAAGTTGCGGGTCGCGTCAGCTGCAGTGAGCACGCGCTCCCGTCTCATGTTCGTACAACAACAACAAAAGTCTCCTTTCGTGTTTAGAGCTGGCACGGAGGAGAAGCAAGCGCTTGCGTCAGTGCAGCCACTCGGACAAAAGCACACATGCAGGAAAACGCGTGTCTTTGCGGACACACGAACGCCGTCACTTGGACTTCTACCTGCTCGAAGCGCCTACGAAGGCGCCACAAGGAGTTGCGGAACAAAGAATGTCTTGGCACCCAGCTGCTCCTGGATGCGGGCGAGATTCTCCAGCGTGCTTTGCTGCGCCATGGAACGGAGCTGCATCACGTACGACGAGTACGCGAAGCTCAGCAGACCCACGGCGGTGATACTCTGCGGGTTGCCGTCGGTGCCGACGACCTGCACCGTGTAGCGGCGTAGTGGGAGGGAGATCTGAGGGCCGTTGAACCAGATGCCGATGGAGGAGATGTTCTCCAACGCGGTGCGGCTCAGCTCCATCGTGTGCGGCTTCTCGGCATCCGGCAGGTAGAACTCTTTCGCTTGCGCAATGAAGGCGCTCCAGGTTTGGCACATGAAGTCTACCACCTGCTGGGGGTAGTCAGCCTGTCGGGCAGCTTCCACATCACGCTGGGCGGCCATGTTGAGCAGTATAATGGTGCTCGCGCGGCGGTCGCCTTCCGTCATCACACTCCGCTTCTCGTGCTCAGCAATGAAGGCGTCGATCTGTTGCTGCCTGCTCACGTCCGCCGCAGCCTTCTGCACCGTCACATCCTCGCGAGCGCACACGGGGGTCGTGAGAGACGCGCCGGACGCGCGGTTGGTGTACGAGACGGTGAATTGGCTCTTTGAGACAGGAGCCATTGCCGGCTGCGGCTTCATTAGGGGGTCCACCAGCGAGAGGTTGGTGGCCATGATGGGGGCGGTGATGCAGGACATTTTGGATCTTCTCCTATTCTCTTCTTATCCTTTTTCTTTTTGAGTACGCGTGCGCGTGTGCGGTCTCGCTCGGTTAGACTCCTCGTGCCGCTTGAAGCGCCCGCTGTATCTTGCAAGGGGATTCAATGGAAGCCGTTGAGAGCGGCGAAGCAGAGTAGAAGAGAACCGACAGTGCAGGCGGCAACAAGAGAAGAGAGTGGATCGTGCAACAACAACAACAACAAAAAAACCTCACACAAAAAAGAAGAAAACAACTCGGCGACTTTTCGAATCAGTTGTCGTTCCAAGACAGAAAATGAGAGCTGATGGACAAGCCAGAGAAAAAAAATAGTATTCAAAAGCGGTTCTGAAACAACAGTCCTTCTCTCGTGCCCTTTTCCCCCATGTGGGTGGCAAATCTGGATGGCGGCGTTTGTCTGTGTATCTGTGGGAAGGGGGTGCGCGGTGTTTTCGCGAGGAGGAGGCCTGCAGCGAAACTCCAGAAAGGCCACTGAGAGAGGGTAGCGATGAACGAAGTGAGGGGAGAAGAGCTGAGAAAGAAAGAAAGAAAAAACAGAAGAAGAAGAGAAATTACAACTTCGAATAAAATACAAAATAGAAAATGGAAACGAACCGAAGTCACAGCGCAACACCAACGAGCAAAACCCTCGCGTTTGAGGGAGAGATAGAACGAGAGAGAACGAGAGAAAGAGACCGGGTGTACCGCGATCCTAAGCTAAACACACCGATATGAAATAACGGGAGGAGCCAAAAAAGAGATACGAGAAAGAATGAAAAAAAGAAAGAAAAAGAATCACGGGATAGACAAAAGAATACTAAATAGGAGGAGAAAAGAAAAGAAAAACGGGTAGAAAAGGTTTTTATAGTTTTTAAAAAAGAATGTTTATCTTTCACGAGAGACAGCAGTGGACAGGCGAGGAAGACAAGAGGAAGAAAGAGTGGGGAGGGAGGGGAAAGAAGAAGAGAGTTTGAAGAAAGCCCAGAGCGCGCCTGTAGGGAGGACGCGAAACATCGCTATCGCAACATCAATTGAACTTCATGAGCACTCACGAAAAAGAGGAAAGCAGGAGAACCGGCTTCAGACACTTTCGCAGTGACAAATGGTGGTACCTGTGCGTTATTATCTTTTTCTTATCCGTTCTTTACTTGGCTCTGCCATGCCCGACGCGACAGCTCCTTTTTGAAAATCTATTTTACATTCAAGCACCTTTAGAGGGACGTTAAGTATTATGGTTCAACAGAAAAGAGACAAACGAGACCATTCCGTGACGCTTACCAATTTAAGTACCGAGCTCATCGCTCGACACAGCGCACGCATCAAGCATCGAATTTGGAAACAAAAAAGAGGCCGGTTCAGCACAGACCAACACAAACCGCATGCGGATGATGCGGTTCCCCGTTCGACGTGTTCAAGAGCGAAGGCGAAGAAGGACCAAGAATGTCAGAGTAGCTGTTTTCTTTTTCCCGCTCTCTTTTATCCGCCACGCGCTTACACACGAACTTCTACCCCCTCCCTCCCGGAGCCAACGCAGCAGCCCCACCACCACCAGACACAAGCTCTGTTCTTCTTCACTCCCACTCCGTCGTCCCTGGGGGCTTGGCGGTGAGGTCGTACATGACGCGCCCCACAAAGTCCAGCTGCTGCACCGCTGCCGCGATCTCTTCGAGCACCTTCAGCGGCATGTACGCGGACCCAGGTGTGGCGGGAACCCCGGTCATGAAGTCGCTTGTCAAGAATGTGCGTACCACCACACTGTAACCGCCTTTAACGTGAAAGCCCACCGGCACGAGGATGATCGGCACCTGGCTCAACACACGCACCAGCTCGTGCTCCATCAAGATCGCATTGACGGCACCGTCGGCCAGGCGCAGCTTGTCGAGCACGTCTGTCGTCAGGCAGGTTGGCGTCACCTCGATGGGGGAGTTCGGTTCTGCGGCGCCGAACATGAACACCACGCGGTTCACCGCATGAGCCGTCTTAGGGATCACCTTCGCCAAGTGCATGAGCGTTTGCCACTGTTCTGCCCTCGGGAATGCCTGCATGGAGAGGGCTGCAGCGTAGGCGTACGTGCGGCCGTCGCCCTGCACCCCCACCGTACGCACCGGCAGCACGCAGGCGGACAGTCCGGCAGTGCGCGCCAGCGTGGTGACGGCGGCATCGCCTTCACCGCTGCACACCCGCTTCACAGTAGCCTCGGTCTCCGCAAAGGCCGCATCGCGGAACGGGGTGCCGTCGGAACAGAGGGTGCGGATGGCGAGACCCGGCCCGGGGAAGGGCTGGCGCTCGACCAGGTGCCGCGGGATGCCCAGGCGCACACCGAGTTCCCGCACCTCGTCTTTGTGGTAGTCGCAGAGGGGCTCGATGATGCGGCCGGCGTCGCGCAGCTGACGGACGACGGCGGTGTCGTTGTGGTGTGTTTTGATGGCGTCCGCGTTGGCGCTGGCGTACTTGGAGCCCGACTCAATCAAGTCCGGCCGCAGGGTGCCCTGTGCGAGCAGGAGATTGTTCACGTCCAGCTGTAGCTCTTTGATCACGCGGTCGCACACCTTCATGAAGGTGTTGCCGATGATGTTGCGCTTCTCCTCTGGGTCCGTCGTCTCACACAGCTTCTTCGTCGTGTAAGAGGGGCGGCTACCCTTGGCGGCCATCTCGGTTGTGGCCTGCGCAAAGTCGTCCTGCGCCTTGACCAGATGCAGATGCACCCCGGCGGCCTGCAGGGCCTCGACGACCTGCGTGCTCTCGTGCAGACGCATGAAGCCGTGGTCGATGTGGATGCACTCCACCCGCTCCGGCCCCAGCGCCTTCAGCAGCAGCACCGCGCACACGGTGCTGTCCACGCCGCCAGAGGCCAGGCAGAGCACCTTCTGCCCACCAGCGGTGCGCTCCCGAATGAGGCGCAGCGCGACGGCCTCGCGGTCCTCCATCGTGAAGGTGAAGGCGCACCCGCAGAAGTGCAGAAAGTTGTAAAACATCGTCTTGCCGGACACTGTTAGCTCCACCTCGGGGTGGAACTGCACACCAAAGAGCGGCAGCGAGGAGTGCTGCACACCGGCGATGATGTTGGCAGAGCTGCGGGCGATCACCTTCATCGCCGGTCCGGCGGAGGTGATGGAGTCGCCGTGCGTCAGCAACACCGCCTCCTTCGGCTTCAGACCCGCGAAGATCGGCGAGCTCGTGTCCATCTCAATCTCGTCCTGGCCGTCTTCGCGGACTTTGCCTCGCTGCACCTCGCCGCCGAAGGTCTCCGCCAGCATCTGCATGCCGTAGCAAATACCAAAAACCGGCTTCCCCATGGTGAAGAGGGCCTTGTCATAGCGCAGAGCGGAGGCGTCGTTCACGGAGCACGGCCCGCCGCTGATGATGACACCCTTCAAGTTCTCGTCGTTGCGCAGACGCTCGACGGGGGTGTCGAGGGGCAGGATGACCGTCTCCACACGCAGTTCACGCACCTTGCGGTCGATGACTTTGCCGTACTGAGAGCCGGCGTCGAGAATGGCCACGTACTCGCCAGCAGGAGCTCCGTCGTGCGCCATTATTACCTTGTTTTTTTGTTAGTTTCTTTGAAAAACAAATGTATACGCAGCAGCGGAGAGAACTAAAAACGAATGCGCACAGTTCTCCAATAAAGCGCGCGAGAGTGCGTCTGGCTCGTTCTGACGGCGTTGTGCGCGGTCGTAACGTTATTGGAAAAAAGACTCAGCGTCCTTGCGAGAGAAAGACAGAGGAGGTGGTCGAGCGATGAGGTGGCTGATGGGTGCACGAAGGACTTGGAGCGGTTAGGGTTAGGGGGGGGGGGCCCGTCAAAACGGCAATGGTATCCATGAAGCCGGCGCTACATCGGTCATACACATATATTTTGCGTTAAAAAATAACGTATCGGAGGTACCTGCGACTGGCGATGCGACGCAACGATTTCTCCTTTTCTTTTAGATCCCTTCTTTTGTATATCATGGACAAACACAGCAGCGTTCGCAGCTTTCTCCGGAGCACACGAGCTTCAACGGCCAACGCAAGGAAACCCTGAAGTGGGGCACGGCAGCCACTGTTTTCGGCATGGCATGGTCGTGCTTTTTGCCTCGTGTGCGTGTTTTCGTTAATAACGGCCCAGGCGCGATCAGCACATCATTGCTGCTTCACGAAAACGCGCAGGAAGGCGCCGTTGAATTCCATACCCTCCATGTTGGCTGCTGCTGCCAAGGCGTCTTCCCGCTCTTCGTACGTGACGTCAGCGGCAGCCGCAGCGCTCGCCCCTCCGCCTTCGCCCACGGCGCTGTAATCGACGACCTCACCGAAGCACGCGCAGAGACGCAGCAACTCCTCCTCACTATACTTGGTTGGAAGGCTCCGTACGCGAATGGTAGTGCTCATGATGAAGACAGGGGTGTGTAGTGTACCTCCCTCTCCACATGTATAAAGCCTGGTCTCTGCCGTGCTTTGAGGAGCGTTGCACTGCAGGGATACATCGGTTCAGTTGTGACGGAGTAGAAAAGAAAAGGAAAGATGAAGGCAACGTAAAAGAAGAGATCAGGCGACCGCTTTGGAGATGACGACGAACCCCCAAAGCACTGACAAACGGCTGATGTGGATGTCAAACACATGAAGTGCTCCTTGACATGAAGCGTTCTCCAGAAGTCTGTAGCACTTCTTGCAAAGGAGCCGCGCTTTGAAAAGACAGCACTCCGAACAAAGTGTCAAATTCTGTGTTCATTGCAGTTTATCGTCCATAGACGTTTGGGGGAGTCACCTGTCTTTGTCTGTTGCAGCACCTTTTCCTCCACTGCTCAGGTGCGCTGTTTTGAGTTTTCTGCGGAGACAACCGTGGATCTACAAAATAGCAAAACAGAAGAAGAACGAGAAGCACAAAACACCTCGTGCATCTATCGCGATGCGACGGAGACAACGCGGAGACATGCAAGGAAGACTCAACCGCGCATACACACACACACACCCTCATACCCGTACACACGTAGGAGACAAACAAACAGGCGAGAAACAAGAAGCGCAGGGAAATCTATCAGTCAACAAATGCGGACAAACCATCACTCTAACATCGACCGTGCAGGAAAAAAAAAACCGCTTGAGAGTATATAAAGCAAGCCCTTGAGCGGAACACTGCTTGAAACGGGCAAGAGAGGTCGAGTTTTGGTGACATCGAAGGCGGCAGGCGACACCATTGGTAGAAAAAACACGAACGAACACCAAGAAGACACCATGGAACGAAAGTTTCATGCTCTTTATGCCGACACCATGGCCCGCAGTTCAGCAAGTGTCTTCATGTTGTCCTGGATGTGAATGTTGTTCGCCTCCTGCAACAGGTCTGCCCAGATGTCCTTGCTCTCCTCTGCTGCGGCCACTTCGTCTAAAACGTGCTTGTGTGTGTTCGACTTTGCCTTCCACTCCTTCATGGCTTGCTCCAGCGCCCACGACTTCGCCTCCGCCTCGGTGGCCGCCGTCGTCTCTGCGATGCGGCTCCTCATCTGTCGCATCTTCTCGTCGTGGGCGGCCTGCTCCTGCGGGATGGCCGTCTCGTACTTCTTCACCAGCGCCAGCAGCTGCTCACGGGCTTCGTCGCGCGACTTCTGGAACGTCGCAAGCCGCTCCCGCACCCCAGCGTCCTTGTCCTCTGCCTCTTTTGTGCGAGTCGTCACCACCTGCATGCGCTTGTGCAACACGCGCAGGTGCTCTGCGGTGCGGCGGCGGCGCTCCTCGACCTTGCGCAGCAGCTCTTCGGTCTCGCGGGCCATGCGCTGCACCTCCTCCTTTTTGCTGACCACCTGCGCCTCAATGGCACCGCTGGTGTTGTGGATCGTCTCCTTCTCAAGGTCCCATTGCTGCACCATCTTCGCGTGCTCGTCTTCCACCTCCTGCAGGGCCTTGCGCGCGCCTTCCAGCTCTGTGCCTTTATCGGTTAGGTCACCCTTCAGCACGCGCCAGCGCTGAATGAGCTCGGTCACCTGCGACTTGTCCATCGTAAGCGAACGTTTTTCTTTCCTTTTATTGGGTTGATCTAAAGTGAGTCTACGAGTTCGCCGTGCACGAACACGTGAAGTCTATTGAGGGTTTGCCTGGGTGCGAGGCTCTGCGAGATGTCTATATGCGAAAAGTGAAAAAGGTGCCTTTGCTTTCTGCTTCTTCGACCAGAAGCCGTCACGTTCTTGCGTATGTGCTGCGGTGGTGCGAAACGACACGACCTCAATGAAGGAAAGAGACAAGAAAAAAAAAAGAAAGGGGTGGAAGCAACGAAGGTTGAGGGAATCCGCAAGAGAGTCCAACGTGTGCAGGACGACACGAAACCAACATACGTCAGCTGCAGGTGACTTCAATCAGCAGCTTTTTCCCTGTTTCAGAAGTGTGTGAACACTCGGCAGGAAAAAAAACACGAGTGCAAGTGTACTTTTTTGTTCGGCACCTTCGTCGAAGCCATCTGTCGCTCTCCATTAAGCCACCGTCGCTCGTCGAGAAGTACCGGTGCCACCGACACACGGCATCCACGTACAGTACGTCTAAAGCAGCGAGCTGTTTTGCTTTGTGTAGGCAAATCTGCCTTCAATGATTACTTTATCCCAGACGTGCTCGTGACACGTGGAGAACAAAAGGAGGAGAAACAAACAATACAAAGCGCGCTAGAGAAATAATAGTAGTAAAAGGGAGAAAACAAATTGCAAAAAACGAATCTAGCACAACGAGAACAGATGTATCCGTGTTACTAGGCAGTCAGTGAGACCAGAGGAGCGTATCACGGTCGAAGGCAGCTGTAAATGCCCCTAAAAGGAAAAGAAAACAAGGAAAATCAATCTATTTCACCGGCTTCATCCAACACAGCGGCGCATTTCGGTGCATCATACGAAATGGGAGGGTCCACTCTAGCACCAAACGCGTTCCAACGGCATGCATATGTGGAAGATATATATATATATATATAT